CAAAATTAATTTTGTTTTGGCATATTTTGGTATTTAATTCGCCCCTATTCCCAACCAAACTACCCATATACAATTAAATCACAACGTTTGAAATTTGGATTTATTGGTTCGGAATTTGGATATATTGGTTGGATATATTGAGTTCTTGTGGGATCCCATCTTAGTTGTATTGCCGCTCAATTTCTTAATTTGAGAAGAGGGATGAGGGCAAAGGGTAGTTCGAAAGATAGTATGCAATAAATTCATTTTGCAATATTAACTTAAGTCTTTATTTTCCTCATGATAAAATTTAATCACTGCATAGTTTCGTTTCAAAATATAATTAAATAAATTAAATGACATAATTAATTAGAATATACGAACCGATGAGATGATTATGAGTCGACCAGCTGCCGAAGGTCCACCAACTATGGAGAGAACTAGACTAGGAGCTATGGCAATGCACATTGTCACGAAATTTCTTAGCCATGCTCTCATCTTTAGTTCTAAGAACCCTTGTAGAATGGCCTGAGGCTCACATTACTCTGAGTAAGAATTTTCTTTATTAATTTTCAAATAATTTAAAAAATTAAATATGGTTGGTGGAGAATAATTATATATGGAATATCATAATCATCTTAAAATATATAGACATTTCAATCACATACTATAGTTCAAAATAATAGGATTTTTGACCCGAAACGTGCAATGCACGTGCTCATTTCTAATTTTATTAAATATTATTTGTTTTATTTGAATGATCTAATAGTTCTAAATGAAAATTCTACTCTATTTGTCTCTTTAATCATCATCAATGACATTTTATGCGTAGTCCACAAGAATTTTGCACGTGATTCGCACATGACACACACGTGATTCTGATTGTAATAAAATCGTCAAGTCATCATTAAAAAAATAATATATGTAAATAAATTAAACAAAAAAATTCAACCATCATCGTAATCGAACAAAGAAGAATTCTAATAAGTAGGACCTCATACGTAAAATAAGTCGAACTTTCGTAGTAGTGATCTTCTAAATCGGGCTCGTGACTCAGTATGTAGAGAAATTGTAGACCTATTGGGTTGACCCAATTAGCCCTATCACTATATTAAGCAAGTAATATTAATTACATTATTGTATATATCTTTCTTAATATTCTAATATATTCTTAAGAAAGACATATACTTAAAGAGAAGAAAATGGAAGAAAGTTGATTTTGTAAATATCAAGGTTGTAAAAATCGGTAATCGGGTCCGAGTCGGTCAGGCACCGACTCACGATTAATCGGTGCGGCGGTGATTAATCAGTGATAAATCGGAAATAAATCGGTTTTTAAAATTTAATATAATATATTTCTAAATATTATTTATAAATACTCCAAACATATGTAAAAAGATATTTAAACATAGGTATATCTCCATCATGTATATATCCTAATAACATAATAAAAGTTTAATAATCATAAGATCATAATACATAAATATCCTTATAAAATATAAATAAAAAAACAATTTTTTTGAATTTACATTTATTCTTGAACATTCGTGGCATACATCATTAGTTCTTTAACAATAACAATTAACATAAACAAAATAAGGCATAAACTCATATTTTCTTTTATTAAAATCCAACTTTTATATTGAATTATAAAAAAAAATTAAAAAAAAAAAAAAAAAAACCGATTTTTAACCGATTTTTTGCCACCGAGTTTGACCCGCCTTAAAGGTTTGACCGCCTCAGACCGCCTCGGACCGACTTAGACCGCCTCGGACCGACTCAGACCGCCTAAAACCGCCTCACAGGTAAAAAACCGATTTTTCAAACCTTTACACGAAAATCGTAAAGGTTTTGGACCGCCTCGGCCGAGGCGGCCGATTAATCGACCGATTTTTAGAACACTGGTAAATATTAATGTTTTCCATTAATAATATTTATTATATATGTTAGGTGAGAAAGAATATTATGAGACACAATCGGCCCTCTTGAAATCGGTTCTAGCAAGTTGATTCGTTTGGTTCGTCGTCCAATGTAACCGACGATGAGCAGGATATTCATGACGAACATTCGAAAAGGGCCATGAAGATTTCTAATTGGGCCAACCTCTTGCTCCTCACACTTAAGGTGCACAATATAGTATACCATTCTTGCTTGTTCTCATTTTACGAGCAATAACATTGCCTAAATTGACAAAACACTGGAAAAAGTTCAGATTTATGCCACGGTTCGGAGTGGCTCGACGGCCATTGCAGTGTTGACCCTGTGTAAATTTGACAATATAAGAGTGAACACATAAGAAAAATACATAGTTCAAGAATATTCAGTTGCACTGCACACCATTGGGCACAGCCGATTCCGCCATAATGAATCTAAGAAGAGGCATAACAAAAGATGAAAATAAAAATGGCTGCCATAATAATAATAATGAGGGGGGACGGGATTATTACGACTACGGCGAACCACGGAGGTTGAAGCGATCGTGACTTCATTCCCAATGGCACGAAAACGAAAAGACACACTCTCGCACTTATCCCTCATATTCCCAGTCGCCTTCGTTGATGTTTGTCTCCTCCGCCCTTTTCACGATCGAATGTCCTATTACACTCATATGTGTCTATGAAGTTTTCTTCTCATATATATATATATATATATATATATATATATATATATATATATATATATATATATATATATATATATATATATATATATATATATATATATATATATGTATATATATATAATATTTATATTTTTATTTTTTAGCCTATCTAATTACATTATTTCATTTACTTATTTTTGCTCTACTTAAGCCAACTTATACAAATTTCATAGCCGCCTCACTTCTCAAAGCCCCTTTACGTCTGATATGTCATCATCTTCTATTACCCAACTTCGTTCTCATTCTTTGAAAAAAGAAAAAAATCTTTGTTCTATCACATAGTCACACTAATGACGGTTAAATTGCTACCCACCGACGATCAATTAACGTTTGACGTCTTCTCTTTCATCTTACTTATCATAATGAATATTAATTAGAGGTCCATTGTATAATTTTTTCTATAATCGACTTGATATTCATGTTTCTTAGATTTTTATAGAAATTTAGCTTTCGCAATTCACTTTTTGTATTATCTTCTGAAACTAGTGGGGGAAAAAATCATATTAAATTTTCATCTTAAATTTCTTTGATAGCCAAAAAAAATTCAGGGGCGCTGCCCCTGAACCCCCAATGTGTTTAAGCCCCTCACAAAAATTTCTGGCCTCGCCAATATATATATATTGACATGGAGGAAAAAAGAATAAAAAAAAACAGCTATAAAATGGAAAGTTAGATCTTCTTCTTTTCTTTTCGTTTTCTTAATTGATAATTCTAATGTACAAATCAGTAATAAGAAGGAAACAAAAAGAATTCGAACGTTTATTTACAAATTTTTTTTATTATCATAATTAATAAAGTCATTAACAAAATTTAACTATATTTTTGTGACTTAATTTGTTTGTTAATTAAGGAACAAAATAGATGCATGCACCCATTTGATTTCCTATATAGCTATTGCAATCGAAAATTCTAGATAGTTTTTTACTCTGTTTTGCATATTATTATGAGAATTAAATGGCATGATATAGATTAAATATTTGTTACTAGAAAGTAGAAACCTCTTTGTCAATAATAAAATATTAAAATGGCAAAACTGAAATAACTCGGTTACAGTTTTTCAAATAAATAAATTACCGTTTATTTAAGCAAATACTTGAGTTGAATTGTCAATTTCATTTGTTAATTAAGGGCTTTTTCGTGTGAAACAGAGTCATGAGGACAAGATAGATGCAATCCATTTCATAATGTAATTAAATTTGAGGTTGTATATAGAAATTCTAATTTAAAGCAGTTAAATTAATGAAAATAATTAAATATTTATTTTTGTTGTTGAAATATTTATTTTTGTTTCTTGATATAAAGAAAACTAAAAATTTATTTTTTATCCACTGGATGAGACATTCATATATAATAGAAATTAAGATGATACAAATGAAAAATAACAATCGAAAATTTAATGATCGAAACTAAGCTATAATCTAGTTATAATAGGAAATAATTTATAAATTTAATATATATAATTATATAAAACTCCTCACTGGAGGTGAATATTTTTTAGAGACCTCGAGTTTCTGACTGGACCTTTAAAACGACATTTAGATACCCGTTTTGTGGTTCAAGAGAACCATAATAACTATATTACCAAAAAAAACATTAAGAAGAGGAGATAAAAAATATCATACCTTTAGAAATGAAGTCCAATGTTCTTTCTCTCTTTGATTAAAAAATGAAAATCAAGAACACAAAATACGACGAGCTGATCTCGATCTTATCGATCCATGTTTGATTGCCAAGAGTTATATACTAGAATTGCAATAAAATTAGATCATTGAACACAAAGGGGCCAAAATTGAACCGGGCCCCCATTCCGAGGGGCAGAAAAAATAAAAAAGGATCAATGTGTAACACACGAGTTTCTTTCCGCCATAGATTTACGAGAAAACCTGATAACCTCCGATTTTTATTGCAAGAAAATGTGAATGTATATACAATATACAAGCAAATTTTCAGGGTTGTTTTCGATTTTCTGTAAAAGGGACGGAAATTTGTAAATACCTTCTTAATAAATATACTTGTTGAATTATGCATTTGAATATAGAATTATTTCAGATTTTTGCATAACTATATAAACTAACATAAAATACTAATTAATGAAGAAATAAAAGAAGAAAAAATTACCTGAATAATTTGATATCAATAAAGTCCCAAGATTTTCCACCACGCAGCTCCGACTAATGCCCATATAACTACGTTAATTAGAGCCATCGTTATGCCCAATAGAAAAACGTGACGAAGTTCGACGTAGCCAGCTGTAAACGAAAACCATTCGGAATATAAATTAACACGAATATCACTATGCAAAAAAATATCTTATATATAAAAGAAAAAAACACTGACACAACCCTAAGAAACTCTAATGGCATTTCGGTAATTATTTATTTTTATTATTTCTTACTAATTTTCTAACTATATTTTGAACAATTATCAAAATTGACAATGAATCGTGAAGAATCCTTCCGGCTTCAATCTCCTATTTTTCTTCAATATATCTCAAATCTTAAGAAATAAATATAAAAATTTGATTTGTTAAATTGATCTTTTTTTTTCTTTCTTTTAAAATACGATCCCATGCATCGCACGGAAAAAAAATGCTAGTATATTAAAAAAAAATACCTGCATAGTAAATTGCAGCTTGACCGCTACTATAATGAGTAATCGTACCGAAGAGATTCGTGATGTAAGACAAAGCCAACGCGGATAACAAACCGGGAACTCCCGAAGCCAAATGCATGGAAAGAAAAGCCGCGTAAACGGCTCCAACATGCGCGGTTTGACTAGCGAATAAGTAGTGGATGAAAAAATACGACGTTTGAAGTATGCCGAACGCACCGAGCGAGCTAATCGAATGGGACTTGAGAAAGTCGGCCACCGATTTAGACATCCACGGTACTACACCAAGTACCGTCAATTGTGTGGCCATTCCGACTAGAACGGCAAACCAAGTCAACGTGTCCCATGCTTGTTTCTCGCTCAAACAATCGTCCCAGTTGAGAACTCCGAGTAGAAGAAGTATAGCCAAACCTATCAATGCCGCAACAACGCTCGCCATGTTGATAGCTTCTCTGTTAAAATTGAAATTATTCTTTTTAATATAATAGTCGAATACAACGTACGTTTGGGAACAAGAACATAGGATTCGACTCGGGTAGTAAAAAATATTAAAGTTGTAGCCACTGTTCATTTCATTTATGCATAATTTTCTAATCTGATATACAGTCTAACTGATTCAAGTTGGATTAATCATAAAGCCAAATCAGATGACTATAAATTTGGTGTTATCGAGTTTTGAATTCACATATGCATTCGGAATGGATATGTTAAATCGAAACGACATTTAGCGTTTTAATAAAATAATCAAATATAACATTTGGGAACATGGATATATATAACTTGAAAAGTACTCCAAAACATCAAAGTCGCAGCCGTTGTTGTTCGTTCATTCATTCATGCATAATTGATACTGATTCTAGCGCATTCAAGTTGGATTTAGAAAGCCAACTTAAACGACTACAATTTCGAACTGAGAAAGGGTTAAAATCTCATTTGAATTCAACTGAAACGATATTTAACATTTCAGAATCATATATGACGAAATAATTAAACTCGTAAATTAGAACAATTTTATAAGTACCCTGCAATCCATAATGCGATTGTGAGAAGCAAGGTTAAGATCATGATCCACTCGTCCCTTTTGACGGGTCCCATTTGCTCCAATTTCCGTTTAGCCATGTCGGGAGCATCGGGGGTGACTTTTATTTCGGGTGGATATATTTTATATAAAATAACCGGAGTTGCCAAGAGAGAGACGATACCGGGAATACAAGCCGCCTTGAACCAAGTAATCCACCGATTCGGAATCGGTACGCTGACGCTTTCGGCTAGTTTGATACACAACATGTTTTGGGCAGATGCCGTCAGAAAGATCGCGCTCGTGCTATTGTTGGACTTTCGCACACGCGTTAATTAGCAAAATTGCGAATACGATAATTAGTTGCTAAATTAAACATAAAAATTGAAATTGCTACTAAATTGAGATTAAATTAAATATGTATAATTACTTGATTTTGAGATTGAATTAGATATGCACCCATCTTTCTAGAGGAAGGATCTTTCGGCTTACTATCGACACCCAACGAGAGAGATTTAATAATCGGCAAGAAAATTCCGCCGGCTCGGGAAGTGGAGCTCGGCATTCCAGGAGAAATGGCGAGTTCGCCGAAAACGAGGCCGTACGATAAACCGAGTGTGCTCTTACCGAGGCACCGGACGAAGAACATGGCGATCCGGTCGCCAAGGCCGGTCTTGACGAACCCTCGAGAGAAGAAGAACGAGACGACGATGAGCCAGATCACCTCGTTAGTGAAGGCGGAGAAAGCGGCGGCGAAGGTTAGGGTTCGGGTGACGACGGAGGCGGTGAGGCAGACGACGGCCCACGCGCCGACGGGGAGCGGGCTGAGGATGAGCCCC